GCTTCTTGTTGGCTTGGTGTCTTCGCGTTCTTTGGGCAAGAATCAAACAATATCTATTATGGTGACTTTGCTGCGTTTACCTTTGTGATTAACTTTGTTCGCGTTCAGATAGCTCAGTGTGTTAGCTTCCAATAGCCATGACAGACACATTTCTACCTATTTTGATGAGAAACTTAAGGCCAAGTTACAAACTGTATGCAGTCTCATGTGTCTTATATTTATTTTATGCTCTGTATATTTGACTTCCACACGCTATTGAATTTGTATATTCAAAGTTGTAACTTTCTCCCGCCCTCATTGTTTACTTGTTTTATTGTTTCAGCTACTGGAGTAGTCATTTTCATTGTAACACATTCACAGACCTTTACTTTCCAGATTAATGGCTCTTAATCCTCAACTTTTCCCGAATGCGATGCCAGTGCCTTTCCTCAACGAGATGTTTGTCTTAGCCAGAGGTGGCGTTGAATTTGAGATTGACAAGATCCCTGGGTGAGCTTGCTTTTGATTCCATGCTCCCCTTTTTATAATGCAATTTCGTTTTGCTTTGTTGCTGTTTATGTGCTCTGCAGCATCATTCTTCAAATCTATCCATATTCAAGTCTGAAATGAATAAACATTTAATTGTCATATCATATTGCTATCAGAATCAACACTTCGTAGTCTTTTGATTCTGGTTTTTGTATTTATATTAGTTGAATTTAAATGCAATGATGTGGATTCCATTTCATTCACTGGTACACATGATTCCTATAGTTGATAATTCGATATGCAATAGTTCGATATGTAGTGGTGAATGTGTGACGATAGTTTGATATAAAGTGGTGCATGTGTGCCGATAGCTCAATATGTAGTGGTGCATATGTGACCCCTCAGTGTACATTCTCATTCTTGGTTATCCTTTTCTCCTAGGCTTCACACTTCATCCTATGAGTTATTAACTTAAATATCAATATCAACTTTTCATATAATAAAAATATGTTCCTTTTATCTCTCTATCATTACCAATATTCGTTCTTTTTGCATTGTTATTTTATGTTAAGAAAACAGGAAATTTCTCCTTGTCACTGAGGCACATAAGTAGAATAAAAATAATTATTTGGACTACGTGAGTTTTGTGAAGTTTATGGACTTAGTATGCCTCCACTCCTCCGTAAAGTTAAGAATAATAAAAATTTTGTTTGAGTTTCTTTTAGCTGCAGTGCTTAAGGTGCTTTCTGAAGAATGCACTTGTAGTTGTAGGTTGGAGCTGAAGAAGTAGCAAGAAAGACTATATTGTTCTTGATGATATCTTTGGCATAGTGTCTTGAAAAAATTGTATCTATGGTTTGATCCAGAGATACCAAATTTTGCTTATATTTATATATCCTCATTATTTTGTTTCGTTAAAATGTGCAAGTGAACATTCTTAGTCCTGTTACTGATTTTCTGTCATTCTACTTTGCCGTTTTGATTTTTGGAGTATTTGTGTTAATATTTCTGTTCTCACCACTCGCAGCACTCAAGATGGGAAATTTAAAGCGAAAGGAACTATTTACTTGTCAAACATACGAATGGTCTTTGTCGCGAATAAACCTGTTGGGAATCTTGTTGCCTTTGATATGCCCCTGGTACGTATAGGTTGACCTAGACTGGATGTGTGGACATCAAAATGGATGTTTTAAACTTTCTAGTGATTTAGCCAAAGACATTTTATGGTCCATGCCTTGTTTTGGTTGCTATTGTTTCTCCTCAAAGCACATGCATGCTTCTACCAAAAATATGTTCTCTTTTCACTTCAACGTTCAACTGATCCCTCTCTTCTGAATGGGGTCACACCTGACCGAAATAGTTGCAGGCACTATCTGTTAGTGGTCTAAGGAAATTTTGAGTGCATTATTTAATGATCTAGCCAATAATTGTTATTCTTCTTTATATTATTTGGTTTGCTTGATTGCTTGGTGCCTGAATGAGAATTGCTTTCAAGTACTAGATTGGCTTGTGCAGCAAGATCTGTTTTATTGGTAACTTGATTCTTGGCTCATACTCACTGCTATGGTGACAATTAGTACTGTCAAAATGGACAAGAGCTCACAGGTTGGCCCATTGGCCGGCATATATGGTCGGGCCTGGGTAGTTTCTCTGGCCCGTTTAATGCGTACCTATTTGGCCCTCGGGCTAGCCCGCTATTTATAAATTAATTTTGTGCCGTGAATTCTTAACGGGCCAATCAAAGCCAGAGGGGACCATCAATGCAGGGCAAATGAATTATTTCCCAGCATCACTTTTCCCATTTGTGAGGCAAGAATCAATACAATGTTTCTGAAGTAAATCTCAAGTCCTCATTTTGCCATCTACGCTTCCTGAAGTTGAATATGATGGAGGACCTTTGTTGCACTGCCCTTATTTATTTTTTTATTTTGCTGTTGAGTGTTGGTATAATTTGTGTGGTTGTGAATAAACATCTGAGCTTTTTATTTGTCAAACGCCGAGAGAAAAAAGGGAAGAGAAACAAGTTTGGCCCGCAGGGCGGCCTTGTTTGGCCCACGAACTGAGACTTACCCAGCCATTGAAAAATGGGCCAGGCCTGCTCTGGCCCATTTTTTGCTAGTCTGCGAAGGGCTGGACTGGACCAAGCCAGCCCATTTGAGTGTCCTAGTGACAATGCACATGACATTCTGGAATCAAGAACAGCAAAAATTCATAGCTACAGTCTTGGTTTACAGCCGGCCTTTATGATCCTCCCAAATATGATTCATTGACTTGTTAACAATAAAAACGGTGTCATTTACTAACTGCAACATGGATAACAAAATGCAGCTCTATGTTCACGATGAAAAATTCAACCAGCCAATCTTCTTCTGCAACAATATTTCTGGCCATGTGGACCCTGTAAGTGCTATGAACAACTTCATTTATTGTCATCTCTTAACGCTAATCGATCAAATGAATCAATGCCATCTCCTAAGTGCTATGAACACTTCATTTATGGTCATCATCTCTTAGCGCTAATTGATCAAATGAATCAATATCATGCTAATTTCTTTTTATTATTTTTTTTTTCAGGTTGTGCCCGATAATGAGCATAGGGCCCTTTATTCAACTCATTCTTTCAAGATTCTGTTCAAGGAAGGTGGCTGTGGAACTTTTATCCCTCTCTTTTTCAACTTAATTGGTTCTGTCAGACAATACAATCAGCACCAAGCTGCACAGCCTCGAGTGGACCCTCTCCAAGCAGCCCAAACTCCTGTGGATGAGATGATGAGACATGCGTATGTGACTCTATCTATATACGACTGAATGTCGCTTTAATTTTTTCTTTTTTTTTTTAATGTTCCTACTATTGATGTGAATAAATATTCTCCATTTATGCAGGTATGTTGATCCTAGCGACCCCACGAGAATATTTTTGCAGCAGCCTAATGCAGAATCTCAGCTGAGACGCCGTACATACCAGTCGCGTGATACTGAATAAAAACTCAACATGATGTGATGCACGTGTCTATTTCTGCTTTGTTGGTCATATAAAACTTGACATGGTCTTGTTGATATCAATAAGTTGAACATTATAATGTCCTTACCATCAAAAGTTCCTCACTGATGTTTGACATATATTATTATTATTATTATTATTATTATTATTATTATTATTATTATTATTATTATTATTATTATTATTATTGTTGTTGTTGTTGTTGTTGTTGTTGTTTGTGATGTATATTAACCTTGAACCTCGTTATGGCTACTCTTAAACAGGTTAAGCAGTATTTTTTTCACCGATTTATGTACTTCAATTGTCATATTACATAAATATAATAGATAAAAGTATGATACTCTATAACCATGCAATTTTAGCTAGTTGCATCGTACTATAATTTTTTAACCTACAAAAGTTTTGAGGCTTCATGCGGGACTTTAAAAAGCTTTGATCATGCTGACTGTAAAAGCTTCCATTTGTGTATTACGAGATATTTTGGTGAGATGGAGTAATAAGGAACCTTCAATCCTATGGTTCAAAATTTGGATTCAGTGTAAGAAAAGAAAATAAAATTCTAAACATTCTAATCACAGTGATTTAAAATGATTTACCTCAACCAATAGTTGGAAAAAGGATTACATAACTAAGAAAACTACTAATCTCTCGACCTCACAGATAGGTTAGGCACCATACTTATCACGGCCTTCTTCAACAGGTTGCAAAATTCTCTTGTATCACACCCGAGCTCTGTCACATCTCAGTTGTCCAATAATATTATACACCACCACGTACATTAAAATGTGAACTGACTGGTTGCTTTAAACGCCTTGAATTCCCCTCCAAAGGATATCATCTCATCTTACCCTTTGTCCATCGTCTCTCTTTTCGAATGGCACCAATTTAATATGCACTCACCTCCGAGTTTGAAATAAATCGGGCTTACGTACACTAGTTGCTTAATTCCCAGATCAATTCTTCAAGACCTTTTGCCAATTGTAAAATATGTATTTTCTCTAGGTCGTGCCACCCCTTGGGTTACAGGTGACTGACGTGCCTTGTTTAACAATTCGTGTACCTTACTTATCACGACATTTTTTACAATAGATGGTAGGTATAATCTATTGTATCGCACTCCCAGATATTGAGTTATGAATGAGACCCTTGAACCGGTCTTCTAAGTTGATCACTCTCTCATCGGTTCACCCATCTATTATAAAATAGCGGATAGCAGGGTGTTTGTATTGACTTGTGTGGGGTGTTTGTATTGACTTGTGTGGATGATAGATAGCCTTTGTTTACATATTAATTACGCATCAAAAGAGATTCTGGACATAAAAATTCCAACACTCAAGTCAGTTGTTATTTTTGTTGAAAAAAATTAGGGATATCTTTTTAATGAGATTTTATTACCTTCTCTTTCATGACTTTGTCCAAGATTTCTCAAATGTTGCGCCTTTATTCATCATTATCAAGAGATTTGTTCCCACTATATCTTTACTAAAGTGACAGGTCGTGTTAGTACCTCTTCATATTTCGTGAGACACACAACTCCTTCTGACCTCATGTCAAGAGACCTGAGCTACGAGCTTAACAGTAAAACCCTCTTATTTATGTAAAGGAAACCACGGATTTTCAAAAAAATTTAAATTTTTAAATATTCATTTTCCAATTTAAACTAAACGGACATTACTCAAACACAAATCTTTCTGTTAAGACAAATAAACATTTCAAAATAAACATGTTACGATTAATCAAACAGTAGTTTATACATCCAAATTGAATCTAAATTTCAACAGAGTTTGCAGAATTTTGAAAGCATAATTAAAGACGACCACGCCCGTCCTCTCGTGTCCGTCGTCAGATTGATCAACATGAAAAACAAAGGGGTGAGCACCGTCTTTTGGCTCAGTGGTAAATTCATACTTTGCATTGATTTAGCATAAACACAGATAAAATAATAATAACATGAACATGCAAAGTCAATCGATCTCACTTATGTACTGATAGTAACCCGGCTTCAAGCCCCTAGGTAGACCTGGCTAATTGACTCTTATTTCAAGCCCCCAGAATCTATCCTGCTAATTAGCTATTATACGCCCCAACTTCAAGCCCCCAGGTAGACCCGACTAATCGACTCTTATTTCAAGCCCCAGAATATACTCGACTAATTAGCTATTATACGTCGTTAACCTAAGTTCATGAACGTTGATATGGTTACTTACTAGTGCATTCGCATCAACCGATCCTGCTAATAAATAACTCTACTAGTGCCATTGGTATTACCCAGTCCCACTAGTAGAAAACTTAACTGATAATTACCTGGCCTAGTAACTCTTATTTCAAGCCGACATGGTAAATGTTCACATCAGACATTCGGTCCACCAGCCATAATCACATGCATATAAAAACTATACTACCACATGTTTATAAACAATAAACCATAGTATAGAACCCCCACCTTTAAACTTACTGACTGGCTGAAATGAGTGAATGCACGTGCATCAGACTGAGGTCTCGGCTCCTCTTAACTACAGTGTAAAATAATTTTCCTTATTAACAAAGGTGTTGTCGAACAAGCAAAGAAAGACAAGGTCAAACAAGGACAATCAAACACATAAAACATATAAGGCAACAAGGCAATTAAGACAATTAAAAGCAAATAAAGCATGTAAATTTTTCTAACTTTTCTACGAACTCTTAACTGTTTCTGAAATTGATTTTATCTCTTCTTTTACTCAAGAGCAAACAATTATACCAAGGCCAAACTTACTGAACCTAAACTCTGAAACTTAACATACATACACCAAAAAAAACAAGGCAAAATAGGGCAAGTATCACCTAGAACAACCACTTCTTAATCTTCCAAACAAAGGCCTGCATACTACTCAATGAGGACTGAAACTTAAACATATTTTTAATCTCCAATTTACATGCTTACAGCCCCATACACACAGCAACAAAGTTCGATCAACGACAATAAGGTAAAACAACACAAAAACTAAGGCCAACTTAACATAGCCTAACTCTGAACAAAAATAACATATTTATAGCACCTAAACTGCATATAAAGTCCTTATAAAGGCTCGAAAAAAGATCGCAAAAAGTCCAAACTACAACCTGTCGATATGCTCCTTAATATCACATAAAACTTAAGCATCCAAAAGAGACTCCATTGAACTGAAATCATTCTTTAAACTCGGCATAACATACACTTCAAACAAACATAAAATAGTACAATATCTCATCCTTAAAAACTGAATGTAAGCCTATGATAAAAACACATTTCTAGCAATATAAACATAACTCAAACAGGTCCAAAAGCTCATAGGCATAGCTTCTCAAGAATCAAGATAAAGCAAGGCATATAAGCTCTCTTTCTCTACACAATTTTAACAAATCCCTAACATGTACATGGGGCAATAAGTCTAAGCATAAATCCTTGATACGCAACACTTCTCCTCAGCATATAAATGGCATTCAAATAGCTCAGCCACACGAGGCAATTCAGGGCACAGAATAACGCTCAAACTACAATTTCAAGCTTCAAACTTTTAAAAAATCTATCATGCTTTTAACTCCCAATTCAAAACTGAAAGAAGGCATCTGAAAACGTTCAGCCAAAAGAGTACAAGGTCTCAGCCAAATACCTTTCTCGGCTTAAAAGGGTTCAAGGACATGACTCGATTATTGGCTCGTCGTGGGCTTTGTCTCGAATGTCGCTGGAAGCTCTTGCTTCTCCCACTTATTCAACTTTGGAATTTTATCAATCGTAAGATTTTCTTTTCACTTAATTGTTGAATATGAATTCTTTGGTTGCGATGATTGTTTATGTTGATTTGATTATGAGTGGCTAAATCCATATGCTAAGAATATGGATTAATGTTTTGATTTCGTTTGTGATTGTGTTCGTTGATCGTTCTTTTATGCGAGTTAATCGTTAAAAGGTTTTTTCAATTATCATGATTGAATGTTGAGAATTATTGAAGGGTGACATATATTTCAATTTCCAATTGATTTACAATTGAATTCGATTTATTCTCGCATGATGTTGGTTATTCTTATTGATTAGTCGGTTAACCATCATCTACTCTAATTTAATCGACTCTTAAGAACCGATATGGGAGGAGTCGATCGAAATAGGCTCGTATAAAATAGGCTTGTTCATAACTGTTTGCCTATGTGTTAAACGACTTGTTAATTTACCATTCACGTTTGTTCTCTTGTTATGAAAAGTTATTGAGGATGAATCTCAAAATGAGTAGGTTATTCGAATCATTTAACCGAACAATCACTTACCCGTAATTGCATATCGAACCAAGATTATTATCCCCTACTCCCTAGCTTCCTATTCTCGTTGATTGATTGCTTTTACTTTGCTTTCTGAATCTTCGTTTTTTAACTTCGTAGTTGTTAATTAAAAATCAAACCCAACCTTGGAACTAATTAGAATGTTTAGGATTTTTTTGTTTCTTTTTGTGAAAGAATAATCGTACAATTAATCCGACTAACCTTCCTCGTGAGATCAACCCGGAAAATGAATCTTGTGATTCGATACTCAAAAAAAAATTTGCTACAACATATGGGATTAGGTTTTTCCTAACAAAGATTTTGATTTTCTTCATAAAAAAATCCATTAATAGATATTAATGCATAAAATATGGAAGTTATTTATTCTACACTTTAAAATAACATACGAAAATTGGACTAATGACAAATCAAGATAAATTTAATATTCCACACTTTAAATATTTTATAACGTGTGATAATTATTCCATTTTCTTAAATTATTCCACACATTAAGTTATCCATTATATAAAATCTAGTAATTACGTGTTATAAAATATGCGGGACCATCTGTTTATTTAAATTAAATTACAACAAAAAATCGGATAAATAGAGTTATGTGATATTGAATCTCTTTCATATTCGCGTGAACATAAAATAAGGAATGTTGCTATAAGTTTGAGAAAAGATGTATATTAATTTATTCAAACAAT